GTGAAAGGGTTGCGGCCTGAGGAAGGCAGAGAACCCCTGCTTCTGCTTCTTCCAACACAGATCTTTGTTCTTCAGAAAGTCCGTGGTATTTTCACTATTTTTGGTTGTTTGTTTTTGCCAAACCATGACTTAAATGCACCAATTCTTCTACGGTGTTCCCTCTGGTCGCCCAGCTTTCAGGTGCATCTGAGATGATTGACAAGGCCAAGTCTTCAAAGGGACAACCTTGCTCTCCGATGCTTGAAAGGGGTCTGGGGCAGCACTTTTACCCAAAGCAATATGCCATTTGACTTCCTGACTGCCGCTTCCATGAACTTGACGGGGGATCCAAACCCAGTTGAATTCTTGACCTTGGCGCTGTTGGTCTCGGTGTGGACTCTTGGTGGTGCGGATTCGGGTTTCCTGTAGATTGAGTTGCAGCTTGTGTGGGACACGGCAGTTGCTGGTCAGCAACTGCCTCCAGTCCCCCTCGAGTTCAGCAAGCAACTTGGTGCCACCTGGCCATCGCGGGTCATTTGGAAGCCCCCGGCCAACCCGAATGCCTTGTTCTTGTGCTTCTTGACCGAGCTGCTGGGCCCACAGATCGAATGAGCCTGGTGAGAGAGTACAGCCCTGACACTCACCTTTCCTGATGTTAAACCACGCGGTGCACCTTGGCAGTTCCCACGCCTGCCTCTGGCTCAACAAAGAATCCGCCGGCGCTGAACATCTGCAGAAGTCCTTGGGTGGTGCGGTTCAACACACTTGGCTGGTTAATGGAAGGAAGACTGCGGGTTCAAGACCAGCTCGGGCCACCTAGGAGGAAAGGCCTGGGGACAGGCATTTCACAAAGCAGCCAAGGAGCCAACGGAGTCCACAGGGAAGAGGCGCAGCAGCTTGGGGGAGCCAAAGACGACAATAACAGCTATGAGGAAGGGGCGCGCGCCAGAGCTTTCACTGCGAACACCTCGTTTGTAGAAGGCTCCGGACGCCGAGCCCCAAGAGGTCCTTCTAGGTGCGCGTGAGCATGACCTGCTTGCTCCAGGACAGGCGCTTCCCTGACCCCTTCATCACTCACTGTGGTCCTTTCTTCCTCACTCGCCATTTGTACTGTTATCCCTGCATTATGATATCGGTGATTTCATCCTGACCACTTTTTGTTTTCTGTCTCCGACGGTTTCTGCTGGGCTTTCCAGTGTGTGAAGCACGGACATCGGAGCCGCTGCAAGGGTCTAGAGCAGCGGCTCTCAACCTTCCTCAACCTTCCATCCAGTCCCTCACATTATTGTCGTTGCTACTTCATCACTGTCATTTTGCTGCTGTGATGAATCGGGCGACCCCTGTGAAAGGGTCATTGGACCCCCAAAGGGGGATGAGACCCACAGGTTGAGAACCACTGGTCTACAGGGACTGATGGAAGGGTGGGGGGTGGGAGATGGGGAGGGTCGGGGGTTGGGGGAGCAAACAACGTCTGTGGGAGGGGGAGGGGGCACTCCAGAACCGGTGGCGATGACACAACTCATTTTAAAAGTGATTCAACCGTGAGGGGCGCCGGGGAGAAGAAAATGTCCTACAGTCGATGGTGGTGGTGATCACACAACTCTTCTTGAGCTGACCGAGCGACTGAATGCGGTGATGTGTGGATTAAGTGCCAATAAAGATGCTTTTTAAAAAAAGCAGCCAGCGAAACCCCGCGCGGCACATTTCTACCCTGACCCACTCGGCTCCCTAAGTCCGGATTGCCTCAGTGCAACTGGCAGATGTCAACAGGCCTGAGGTGGAGATCCCTGGGCCGGGGGTCTTACTGCCTTAGGAGAAAAACCAGAGCAGGTGAGAGGGGTTGGGGGTGGGTGTGATTTTAAGTACAATGGCCAGGGCTGGGCCAGCTGAACTGAGAAAAAGACACTCGGAGAAAAGAGGATGCTCAGATTTCCCATTTCACGGAGAAAATGAAGCGCTCACCACCACGTGTGTCGCGTACACGCCTTCGCGCCACGTATGATGGGGAACTCTTCCTGCTCTGGGGCTTGTCCCTCCACATGCCTGAAGGCCCCTCCAGGAGACTGGAGAACTGGGTGAGCCCTTTAGCCAGCCGTAAAGACTACCTGGGCATGCTCCAAGAGCCAGGTGGGCAGTACACCTGCATGGCCCAAACCCCCACTTCTCCTTTTTCTTCCCCCTTTAGCTCCTGTCCTGCACCCACTTGGCCCTGCCAAGGTCTCTCTGGCTTCAGGCCACCACGTGTGGTGTGCAGTCTCACGAGGTGACCCGTGTTCAGTGAGTGTAAGGTCAGAAACTTGTTCGGTCCTTTATAAAAGCCCACTTAGCTCACAAACCAGGCTTCGGCGTGAATTCTTTCTCCGGAGAAGCCAAGAACCGAGGTATTTCCCACCCCAGAGACCTTCCATCTCCTGTTCAAGGCCAGCACTCCAGCAAGCCTCCCCTCCAACAACACAACCTACTCTGGACTCGATTTTAACTTTAACCCCGTCTCAGGCCTCGCTTTCCCATTCAGAGCCAACCTCCTGGAAAGAGTTGTCTGGTACCACTGCTTACAAACCGATCTGTATCAGAAGTAAGGCTAAGGGAGGAGACAAGCCAGTCAGGGTATAGCACCGATGAAACATACAACTTTCCTCTAGTTCTTAAATGCTTCCTCCCCCCACTATCATGATCCCAATTCTACCTTGCAAACCCTGCTAGTCCAGAGGATGTACACTGGTACAGATAGGAACTGGAAACACAGGGAATCCAGGAGAGATGATCCCTTCAGGACCAGTGGTGAGAGTGGCAATGCCGGGAGGGTGGAGGGAGAGAGAAAGGGGGAACAGATTACAAGGATCTACATGTCCTCCCAGGGGGGACGGACAGCAGAGAAGTGGGTGAAGGGAGACGTCGGATGGTGTAAGATATGACAACATAACAATGTATAAATTATCAAGGGTTCATGGGGGAGGAGGGTTGAGGAGGGAGAGGGAAAACTGAGGAGCTGATCCCAAGGGCTCAAGTAGAAAGCAAATGTTTTGAGAATGATGAGGGCAACCAATGTACACATGTGCTTGACACCATGGATGTATGGATGGATGGTGATGAGTTGTACGACCCCCCAATAAAATGATTTTTTTAAAAATCAGGAAAGGTGTGTGTGTCAGGGTTGTGTCCTCTCTCCAGACTCGTTCGATCTGTGTGCTGAGCAAATCACCAGAGAAGCTGCATTAGATGAAGAGTGTGGCATCAGGACTGGAGGAAGGTTTATTAACAACCTGTGGAATGCGGATGACACAACCTGGCTTGCTGAATAGGAGGAGGAATCGAGGCGCTTGCTGATGAAGATCAAGGATGCGAGCTTTCAGAGCCCCTATGCGTCGGGCTAACTGCAGTCAGCAATTCCAACCCTCTCTGTGGGAGAAAGGGTGGGCTTTCTACTCCCCTACACGGTTGTAGCCTCAGAAACCTACAAGGGCAGGTGTCCAGACCTGTACGGATGGCAGTGAGTTAAGTGTGGCAGGAAGGTCTAGAACCACAAATTTCACAGGCTCAAAACCAGACCCCTGCACAAGCACGGGAGTGTGGACAGTTTATCTCGAATGACCAGAGCGGAGACAGCACACGAGCACCCGGGGTTCATGCTGGCTTCTCTCCTCCTTCCACTCCTCACACCCAATCTGCCAGCAAAGCCGGTCGGGACTGCTTGGAGGCTTTAACGTATTGGTAATGTAAGTGCCAAGGTATAAACTTGTTTTCGTTTTTAAAAAAAATTTTTATTTTTATTTTCTTGACAGCTTTTTTCTTCTTTTTTCCTTTCCTAATTCTTACTTTCTCATGGGAAGGCCAGGCGCGTCCTCTCAGACTCAGCCGTATAAAATTCCGACTGGCTGATGCGGCCAGCAGGGATACTTGGTCTTTTCTAACCTGGTTTCGGGGACCGACTTGGTCCAAGTCTTCAATGGTATCTGGTCAGATGGAAGGAGGTTCCCACCTCGTCTCCACCTGCTTCTTGCGCTCCCCAGGGCTGGTCTTTGAAAGCCCACTCAGCACATCGTCTTTGTCGTCAGCATCCACCAGGGCAGGGGATCTATGCTGTTGGCCCGGGGGCTCTTAGGGCAGGAACCTTATCTCCAAGTGTCCGCTAAGCCGACCTTGGCCTTGCAGGGAGCCAGGCGATAGCGGGAGGCGCCTCCGGAGAGCCGCCAACCTGGAGGGGAGGACCTCAGGCCAGGACAAAGGCCTTTTGTTTCCGTGGGGTAGTCTCGCCCAAGGCTCCAGTGGATGGCGTTCCTGTCGCGGCCCAGCCATCACCGCATCACCGGCCCGCGCAGCCCGCAGCTGCAGCAGCAGGGGCTCCTCCTCTCAAAATTCCCGGGAGACGCGCTGGAGCACGCACAGCGCTAGTTGACTCTTTGCAACCTTCACCTCTGTGGTTCCCGTGTCCTTGCATCGTTCTCGGGAGCCCAACCGGGGTTCGAATGGCTTAACGTGTCCATTTACACCCCGGTAACGTCTGGGAGCGAACGTCTGCAGCGCGCGGCCCCGCGAGCGTCTGCGAGGGCGGCATCCCTGCCGGGACTACATCTCCCAGGAGGCACCGCGGCCCCCCTCCCAACGGCTTTGTTCGAACTGGAACGACCAATCGTGGAGGACCTCAGGCGGGGGGCACCGCCCTCCCCCCCCATCTGCCTCTGGACTACCACTCCCATAAGCCCCCGCAGGCAGTCAGGCCGGCTCGGCCAGCACGTCAAGCCTTGGCACGGGCGGGGGAGGGGCCCAGGACTCAACTTCCCGGCAGGCCGCGCGGCGCGAAGTGCGGGACTCCAAGTCCCAGCAGGCTCCGGGCCCCGTGCGCCGCGGTGCCTTGTGTGGGATGTAAGCGCGGAGGTGGGCGCGGGGCTCTGAGGCCGGCACGCTTCTCGGGGCTTGGGGGGTTGGCCGGGGGGCGCCCTGCGGACGGGCTCCAAGGGGCTGGGGAGCAAAGGCTCCAGGGAGGGGGCGTGGCGGCCACTGCGGAGGGTTCCAGCCAGGTCTTTGGGGTACACCCCTCTCGGGGTCGGGGTCCCGACGCTGTGGGGAGGAGGAGGCCCCGGAGTCTCGGCCCACGGTCGACAAAAAGGGCACCGGTGAGCCACGGCGTGAAGGGGGCGGGGAAGCAGGAGACGCAGTGTGTGCAGGGTCGGGCGACTGGGGGGCAGTTTGGGAGGGGGCTCCCCTGCCGGGCCCGGCCGACCCTCCCCTCCCGGGCTCGCCCGCAGGCCGCTGCCCGCCGCCATGGGGCTGAAGGCCGCCCAGAAGACACTCTTCCCCTTGCGTTCCATCGACGACGTGGTGCGGCTCTTCGCGGCCGAGCTGGGCCGAGAGGAACCGGACCTGGTCCTCCTGTCCTTGGTGCTGGGCTTCGTGGAGCACTTCCTGGCTGTCAACCGGGTCATCCCCACCAACGTGCCCGAGCTCACCTTCCAGCCCAGCCCCGCGCCCGACCCCCCCGGCGGCCTCACCTACTTCCCGGTTGCCGACCTGTCCATCATCGCCGCCCTGTACGCCCGCTTCACCGCCCAGATCCGCGGCGCCGTCGACCTGTCCCTCTACCCCCGGGAGGGCGGCGTCTCCAGCCGCGAGCTGGTCAAGAAGGTCTCCGACGTCATCTGGAACAGCCTGAGCCGGTCCTACTTCAAAGACCGGGCCCACATCCAGTCCCTCTTCAGCTTCATTACAGGTTGGAGCCTGGCAGGTGGCCGGGCAGGAGTCCTTGGCCACCCCCTGCCGGCCCCGGAGGCCTCGCAGCCCCCTTTAGAGCCAGGGTGTGTGTGGGGGAGGTGGGGGCAGCCATTCCTCCCTGCTCTGCAGTTGAAGCCCACACTCAGAGAGGGGAAGGGTTCTTTCTACCCAAATCACACAGCAGCAAGGGCTAGGCTGAGCTCCCACCTCCAGTGGTCCACCCTCTGCCCCACCACTGAGCAGCCAGCCACCAGTGTCCTTGCAGCCCCACCCGAGGCACACGGTGGCAGCAGAGTGCTTGAGGGGGAAGGTACCAAATACGGCCACGTTCCAGGGCATTGAGTCCAAACCGTGGATGACAAGATTGTGCAGGGAATAGACCAGGGCCTTCACCTCAGGGAGTCAGACCGTGTCAGGCTGTCTCTGAGCGCCCACGAAATGCTTGCGTGGATGAATTAGGAGTCCCCCCCGGGAGGGAGAGGGGCATGGGAGAAAGGGTGGTGGCCAGAGTGTCATGCCTGGGCCATCCCCATTACATTCTCACTAGGGCAGTAAAATGGGGCAATCCCGTAACTAACCCCAACGGATCCTCTGCTTGCCAAAAGAGGACAGGACTGGGCTGAGCTCAGAGTGGGGGATGGGAAGGGTGAGTGAGAAGCTTTGAACCCAAGGAGAGAGGGAGAGGAGGCAGCAGGCCTGGCATGACTCAGCCCGCCTGGCCTCCCCCTGCCCTGCGCCAGAAGACTCGGTGTTCATGGCTTTTCCCTCCCCAGGCACCAAACTGGACAGCTCTGGGGTGGCCTTTGCGGTGGTCGGGGCTTGTCAAGCCCTGGGCCTCCGTGATGTCCACCTAGCCCTGTCAGAGGACCACGCCTGGGTTGTGTTTGGACCCAATGGGGAGCAGACAGCCGAAGTCACCTGGCATGGCAAGGGCAATGAGGACCGCAGGGGCCAGACGGTCAACGTGGGCGTAGCCGAGCGGGTATGACATCTCCCTCCTTGCTGGCTCCAGCCACCCAGGGGGCCGCCTTTCCCAGCATAGAGTCCTTCCCTGGCCTTCACTCCCTGGAGTGGGCCGTCTCCAGACACCTGGTCTCCCTCCCCCTCGCAGAGCTGGCTGTACTTGAAAGGTTCCTATATGCGCTGTGACCGCAAGATGGAGGTGGCGTTCATGGTGTGCGCCATCAACCCGTCCATCGACCTGCACACAGACTCCCTGGAGCTGCTGCAGCTGCAGCAGGTCAGTGGCTGCCTGGGGCTGGAGGGGGTGGGGCTAGCCTACAGACCAGCAGGGGTACTCAGGGCCCTGAGCCTCATTTCCCCTTTCTGTGACCAAAAAAACCCTCCAAATTTATTGCCGTTGAGTCAGTTCTGACTGCTAGACACCTAGGCCAGGGTAGAGCTGCCCCTGTGGGTTTCCGAGACTGTCATTCTTTACGGGAGTAGAAAGCAAGCCTCATTTTTACTTTGTGGACCGCTTGGTGGTTTTTAACTGTTGACCTTGTGGTTAGTCGCTAACACATAACCATGACGCCAGCAGTGTTGACAAGCCCAGCCCTGGTCTCTCCCAGGCTCTTGTGAGGGTGGAATTGAAGCGTAGAAAGACTTCCAGTCCAGTGACTGGATTCGAGTCCTGCTGGCATAGGACCCACCACTGCCAGGTGGGCTGAATCCATTCCCTCCACCCCAACTCCCACCCCCCAGTTCACACCTTTTTCCTCTGGTCCTTAGAAACTGCTCTGGCTGCTCTATGACTTGGGACACCTGGAAAGGTCAGTGGCGGGCAGGAGCTGGGGGCGGGGGAGAGAGGAGGCTAGGGGCAGCCTGGTCTGATTCCCTTTCTCCAGGTATCCCATGGCGCTGGGGAACCTGGCTGACCTGGAGGAGCTGGAACCCACCCCTGGCCGACCAGACCCACTCACCCTCTACCACAAGGTGGGCCGCCTCCCAGCAGTGCCTGGGTTTCCCTTCTGCCTGGGGGTGGGTGGGGGGCTTCTGCCATGCACTCCGTTTTGTGAGCACATCCTGCCTGGCCTGCTCAGGCCCTGCTACTGTGAGTTGGAAGTGTGCAGGGGCCCCTGCCCAGGGGTCCCAGACTTGAGGACCAGGCTGCTGGAGAGGTTTGTCATCAGTGTGGTTCAGAATGGCCAGGAGGACAGAAGGCTGTGTATGTCCTGGGCTCCCAGCAGGACCTGGTGTGTGACAAGAGGTCAACATGGTCGGGGAGAGAGAGGCCACTGAGGTGGGCGGAGGAGAGTGGTCTGTCCTGGAAGGCTTCAGCTCTGGGTGTGGGAAATCCTGGGAAGGGCACTGCCCCAAGGGTTGGGTGGATGGATTCCCCCACCCACCCACATCAGCTGCAGGTGAAGGATCCCTGAGAATGGGGGCAGATGGACAAGGGGCAGAAGACAAGGCCCTGCCTTGTCTTCCTGGCCCCCTGCTGGGTGGGAGCGATGGGGCAAGGGTGCTGCTGGGACAGCAGAGGACCCCTTGTTGAGTCTCTCTGTCCTGCCCCCAGGGCATCGCCTCAGCCAAGGCCTACTACCGGGATGAGCACATCTACCCCTACATGTACCTGGCTGGCTACCATTGCCGCAACCGTAATGTGCGGGAGGCCCTGCAGGCCTGGGCGGACACGGCCACCGTCATCCAAGAGTGAGGCCGGCTCCCTCCACCCTGCCCATGGCCCAGGAGGGAGGGTCCCCCAATGAGGGTCTCTGGCCTTCCCTGCCTTCCCCTTGAGTTTGCAGCCCCCTCCGCCAGCACTGGGACCCCTCCCTCCGACCGTATGTCGGGGTGAGGACGCCAAGCCCTGGCCCAGTGTTCCACAGTTCTCCGCTCCCACAGCTACAACTACTGCCGGGAGGACGAGGAGATCTACAAGGAGTTCTTCGAGGTGGCCAATGACGTCATTCCCAACTTGCTGAAGGAGGCGGCCAGCCTGCTGGAGGCTGGCGAGGAGCGTCCCGGGGAGCAGACGCAGGTGAGGGGCAGCCTCTGCCAGCAGGCCTCCCAGCCCCGGGACAGGGCTGCGCCTCCGCCGCCGCCGCCGCCGCCGCCGAGCCCTGGACCTGGCTCTGAGGGGGCTCTCCCATGTATCTTCAGATGAAAGGCCTGCGGAGCCATCCCTCCCTGGCCAGGGCCCCTCCTTGCTGGTGGGCTTTGGCTGGAGGTTGGAGGCGATGCCCACTTTGCTATCCTGGCTAGCGACCGGTTTTGCCAAGGAAACCCACTGCCCCTCCTGGTGGTTAAGGTTCTGACTCCTGGCCAACTGCTTCTTAACCCTTGCTTGGCTGTAATCCTGGAGAGCCTGTCCTCAGGCACCAGTCTCCCAGGTGTAATTGAGCTCCCTGTGTGCGCCCCCCAGAGGCTCTGACAACGTTCTGCACCTACACTCCCCTTCTCTGGAGCTGGGCTGCCTTCCCCTGGAGGGGCCAGAACACCGACCTGCCCCTCCATTGTCCATGTCCAGGGCACCCAGGGTCAGGGCTCCGCGCTCCAGGACCCCGAGTGTTTCGCCCATCTGCTGCGCTTCTACGATGGCATCTGCAAGTGGGAGGAGGGCAGCCCCACGCCCGTGCTGCACGTGGGCTGGGCCACCTTCCTTGTACAGTCTCTGGGCCGCTTTGAGGGGCAGGTGAGGCCCTGCCGGAGGGTACGTGTAACAGGAGGCTGGGGGAAGGAGCCCCAGGCAGTCAGAACGTTTTATGGCCACTCCTTGGGGGTACAGATGAGACTTGAGACCCTAAACAGGGCAGTGGTGGCTGGGGCCACTGGCCTTCAGCTCGCCCCCAGCTCACCCGCCCCTCTGGCCCAGGTGCGGCAGAAGGTGCGAATCGTCAGCCGGGAGGCGGAGGCGGCCGAGGCCGAGGAGCCTTGGGGAGAGGAGGCCCGCGAAGGCCGGCGGCGCGGGCCGCGGCGGGAATCCAAGCCCGAGGAGCCGCCGCCGCCCAAGAAGCTGGCGCTGGACAAGGCCCCAGGCGCAGGGCAGGGCGCGGTGCCGGGACCGCCCCGCAGGCCCCCAGTGGCCGGACCGGCCACGGCCCGCGAGGCTGGCAGTGCGGCCCAGGCGCCCGCGCCGGCTGCGTCCCCGCCGCC